CCTCCCCCCACCCCCAGCCAATTTACACCTTGAGACCCTGATCTCCCCCTGCCCCCCCGCCCCTCCCCCCCCCCCCCGCAGTGTGTGATGGTATTTGGAGATGGGGACTTTGGGAGGTAATCAGGTCATGTGGGTGGAGCCTTGATGAATGGAAAGTAGAAAAAAGGGGAAAATGGAAAAACTAGTTCTTTTTCTGCCAAAGTGAAGCCAGCAGTCTGCAAACCAGAGGAGGGCCCTCCCCCGGACCCCATCACTCTTGCACCCTGATCCCAGACTTCAGTCTCCAAAACTGTGAGAAACATTTTGCTGTTGTTGTCTTTCATAAGCCACCCTGTCTGTGGTTCTTTTTAGAGCAGGCTGAACTGTGACAGTGGCCGGAACACAAATGAATCTGAAAGTGCCCATTAAGTGCCGGAGGCTCCCAGATCTTAACTTTCAGTAACTCAGGAAGATTAACACACTCTGGAGTATCTGGGGCCTGTTACAAGCAAATTCCCCACGAAGACAGAGTGCAGGGGAAGAAACCACAAAACACTGGGGGTCAATTTTTTCAGAACCTGTTGAGTTACCCTTCGCACCTTCAAAGATATTTTTTCCCTTTGTAAGTCCCCCTCTTTCCTTTTTTTTTTTTTTTTTTGAGGAAAAATTAAAGAATTTATCACAGGAGCTTTGTACTACAGACTATAATATTATATGCTTCTAGAAACAATTTGTGTCGGGGCGCCTGGGTGGCTTAGTCGGTTAAGCGTCCGACTTTCGCTTAGGCCATGATCCCGTGGTTCGTGGGTTCGGGCCCCGCGTCAGGATCTGTGCTGACTGCCAGCTCAGAGCCTGGAGCCTGTTTCAGTCTGTGACTCCCTCTCTCTCTGACCCTCCCCTGCTCACGCTGTCTCTCTCTCCTAAAAATAAATATTAAATAAATATTAAAACATTAAATAAAACATTAAAAAAAAAACTTAAAAAAAAAAAAGAAACAATTTGTGTTATGTGTTGGAATGTTCTAGAAGGCTTTCAAGAATCCAAATGTAGTCCCAATCGTTCATTTTTGCTTTTGATTCCCTTGCCTTTGGAGATGTGGCGAGCAAGAAATTGAGAGCCTAAATGTCCATCAACTGACGAATGCATCAAGAAGATGTGGTTTATCTATACAATGGAATGCTGTGTGGCAATGAGAAAGAATGAAATCTGGCCATTTGTAGCAACGTGGATGGCACCTGAAGGTGTTATGCTAAGTGAAAAAAGTCAGGCAGAGAAGGACAGATACTGTATGTTTTCACTCATATGTGGAACAGGAGAAACTTAACAGAGGACCATGGGGGAGGGGGAAAAGATAGTTAAGGAGAGAAAGAGAGGCAAACCATAAGAGACTCTTAAATACTGAGAACAAACTGAGGGTTGATGGGGGTGGGGGAGAGGAGGAATTGGGTGATGGGCACTGTGGAGGGCACTTGTTGGGATGAGCACTGGGTGCTGTATGGAAACCAACTAGACAATAAAGTATATTAAAAAAAAAAAAAAAAAGAATCCGAATGTAGGAAAGAAAGCGGAAGCCATTAGCTCAGCCTCCTGATGTATCAGATCAGGTCACTCCTGAAGCTGGTGACGGTCAACTCCTTCTTCACAGTGAGGCTTTCCCTCAGGCCCCCATCACTTGATTGTGACTCTCCTGGGAAGGGGACTCTGTGTCGGTTACTCTCAGGAACAGTCAAATGTGTACGATGGGAACTTAGGGAGCTTAGCAAGAACGTAAGTTCATGTCACCATCAGCAGAGGATCTGAGAAGGGAAGAGAAATAGCTCTAAATAAGGTGCAAGGCTTGACGTGCCCCGAGGGAGGGAGGAGATGGGTGGCGAACACAAAGGAGGAGAACTGCTCTCGGTCTTGGGCTGGATGGAAAGCCAGCAATCTTCTTCAGAGCCAGGCTCCAAGATGAGTAGGATCTGGCCTGGGAGGCAAAGTGAACCAGAGAGGGGGCGTGAGGAAAAGCGCTCGGGAGTGCAGGTGGGTGAAGGCGGCTGGAAGGGAAGCTTGGTCGCCAAGGGAGGCTGACGCTAGATGCCTTTTGAGCGCTGGGCAGGGGGGGTTGAACGTAATTCTGCTCTGTGCCCTTGAGAAAGGGTTATGCTGTATAGGATGCCTGTGTTAAATTGGTGGTGCTCTTTATTTCCATAAAGCTGGGCATCCAGCCCTCACCTGGAACCATACGTATCCCCTTGACACCGATTTCTAGCATCTTTCCCCAAACTGTATCCCGCCACTACATGCAAGGATTGCACCTACAGTATTAACTTCAATATGTGATGTCACCAATATTGCTCAGCCATGGGCGCTGTGATGCTCTTTTATTCAGGATAACGTTTCGACGAACTCATTCTGGGGCTAAACAAAGCGGAGAGTTAAATCCCACGAGGTTTACAAGAATTGGGATTTTCCCTGTAGAATAATAGAAAAGTAAAACAAACCACGTATACTTTTTTGCTCCCAAGGTCAGCCGTCTGACCTTCGGTTTCATCTTATGAGCATGTTCTCTCTCTTCTGCGGTGTTTGAACCGAAAATCAAATCTGAGTCTAAAGCTGCAGTGTGGTTAATCACAAAAGAAGGACCGGGGCACCTGGGTGGCTCAATCGGTTGAGTGTCTGACTTCCGCTCGCGTCATGATCTCACGGTTCGTGGGTTCGAGCCCCCTGCATCGGGCTCTGTGCTGATGGCTCACTGCCTGAAGCCTGCTTCGGATTCTGAGTCTCCCTGTCTCTGCCCCTCCCCCTGCTCTTGCTCTGTCTCTCAGAAGTAAATAAACGGTTAAAAAGAAAAGAAAAGAAAAGAAAAGAAAAGAAAAAGAAAAGAACAATCAACTTTTAAAAAGACTTTGCTGCTTACAGTTTCCTATCATGTACTTTCATGGGGAAAAGAAAAACCAACACAGTCCTCCACTCAGTATAAATGTTAATTCTGGACACAACTTCTCTTAGTATTCTTTTCGCCAACAGAGAAGCTTCACACAGCGCCTTGAATAGTTAGTTTGTATCGAATCCTTGTTTGAGCCTTTTGTTGCCTCCTGTACTTGAAAAGGGACCCTTGTGAAATACAGCTGCCCAGTGTTTTCCTAGATACTCCTTGCTGCAACCACAATACTGTATTTCAGTTGCCCCACTAATTTCTGAGGGAAAAAAAATACAGTCTATATTTTAAAACACAGTCCTCGGTCGTTAGTTTTTTGAGGATTTGCTAAATTTCCTGTCACCAAAACAAACCTCTGGTTTAACCTATGAACTCTTGAATTTCCGGCATTCTTGCCACGAGTCTCCCTTTTCTCTTTCAACAACCTGCACTGTGGGCAACAGAACAGTTCACTTTAGATCATCTCATGCCAATTAACCATGGTGGTGCTAAACCATTTTACCAGATGACAGCTAGAGTTTTAGCCATTTCCTTTGATCAAAGGAATCTTCTTTTTCCAACAACAGCATAAATTTTTTTAAAAAAGACTTCTTGACTTCTTTTGTGGATTCAAATGCTCAAGTGAGTTTAGTTTCCATTTTAAAAGATCTTAAACCTCTCAAAGAAAAGCTTTCACAACCTGTTTCCAAGGTACAGATCTGGAGAGATGTGTAGGTATTTCTAAGTCCCAGTTTGTCTATCTCAGTTTTTCTTGGGACCAACAGTGAAATTTCACATTAAAGGTGAGATCTTGGAACAGTTTTTATTTGCCACTAAGGCCTGGGGCCAACCAGTGTGGGGGTACAGCCATTGCCCTTGAACCTTTATGGATACCTGCTTTGCAAGTCCTGTTGTGGGGAAAGATCCTTCATTCCGCTTCGGGGAAGTATATGCTGTTTTCAACATGGGCCACTTAAGGAAAGGTAGGAACATGCCAGAAGTTATTTAACAACTTCTCATTTAGCTGACGTTGCAAAAGGAAAAGAGAGGTGTTATGCTTGGATAGGATTTGATGAGAACAGTACTTTGCCTCTGCGGCCCCCAAAACACACGGCCGAGTCTAATCGTTGAGAAACACATCCAAAAGATCTCGGCAGAGGGGCGATCTGCAACACACCTGACCGATGTTCCTTCTCAAACCCACCACGGTCATCGAAAGCAAGGAAAGTCTGAGAACCTGTCACAGCCGAGAGGAGGGAGCAGAACACTGAATGCAGCTGGCATCTTGGGTGGCATTTGGGAGCTGAAAGGGACATCAGGGGAAAACTAAGATCTGAATGAAGTGTGGGGTTGCAGTTAACGATAAAGTAGGATTATAAAGGTTCATTATGACAAACATACCAGACGAAGTAAGGCAAGACGGTCATCGGTGTAACTATGTAAAGTGTGTGGAGCACTGGGGAACTCTACTACCTTATCAAATTTTCTGTAAATCACAATCTAAAAGAAAAATGGGTGGTAACATGTGGGTTTGTTTTTAAAACACCATCTCAATTACAATAGACCTAAGGGCATCATTCCTGCAGGCTGAGAAGTCCTGAAACACCCTAGCGCACCTGAAGCGACCTAAGGGGAAGGGCGCCTAGGTGGTTCTGCCGGTTAAGCAGCCCGACTTTGGCTCAGGTCATGATCTCACCCTTTGGCTCAGGTTCGCCAGTTTGAGCCCCGCACTGGGCTCTGTGCAGAGTCCTCAGTGCCTGGAGCTTTGGATTCTGTGTCTTCCTCTCTCTCTGCCCCTCTCCCACTCACGCTATCAAAAATAAACACTAAACAAACAAACAAACAAATCTTACGGGGGAGTAGAGAGGCAAGTGAGTGGTCCCCATGTCCCCATTCCCACGTCCAAACGTGCTGAGTGTCTGGGAAAACTTCCTTGATGAAGTCCACATCTCCATCTTTGGTAAGGAAAAGTTTACAGATTAATAGTGAGACAAAATATTGTTGGAGATCTGCCCAGAAGAGATGTTATGTGCTTTCCGTTACTATGCTTCGGCTTTCAAACTTTAGGCATCCGCTCTACACTTTACGTTTATCAAACTTTGGTTTAAATAACATCGTAGTGTTGAATGGTTTATAAATGTTTATTAAGTGTCAGTAATTTTTACATATTAATAGCAAGAGGCGGAGTTTTTGCAAAACATGTACAAAAAAAGCCCTAATGACTAGCAACTTACTTTATAAAATCAAATCATTCTTTCCACTTTCAGACCTCCTGTAGAAATAATTTATTGCCAATCCTTGAACTAAAGCACTGACAGAAAAAAAAATTTACAACAGTATCAGATAACGTGCTTATTAGTTCCTGGAAAGTTATAAAAAGATATCATATGTATAAAAAATCCTAAGCCACAAATACTTTTATACAAAGCTAATTAATACAAATCATGTTTTTGTTGGGTACAGGATCCGTGAGGTTGTTACAAAATATACTTTTTGATAAGGCTTCTTGTGGTCAATGAGCGCTCATCACCAGAGAGTAGTACAGAAAAGCCATTTAGAACATTTTGCCATTCTGCCTTCAAGTAAGAGATAAAGAGAGGGTAAATGGTATAGGTGATTGCATTGTTACACATACTTTCCAAGAATTAAGTCCTTCCTCCTCCCTGTGTTTCCCCCTTGGTCCCATCAAATAGGCATTAACTGAGGACAAATATATCACTTATGGCAAGAAACATCATGTACGAGCTTTCTAAATATGAACCCAAGTCAGATACCAAGTAAGGAGCATACTTCTATCATGACATCCGCACACTGGAAGTTTATGCATGGTGGGCCCGTGAATACTTCCATCCATCTGGAAATTTTTATCATTATCGACAGCAGATTTGGACAGATTTCCCAAACCTCCCATCACCCCAGTAAATACTGCCCAATCCTTAACTCTTTTGGTTCCCTCTGAGCTCTGGCATTCGAGGTCAGATGGTTTAGACCTGGATGCCACAAGAATGCACCCATTTGCTTCGATGCTAACGACATGTTCAAGTAAAGACACAAGAATGATACTGGTACAAACACTGTACCTCACATGATGTTAGTAATCCCTTACCGGCCTAAGGCTAACATTGCCTCGATGGTACTTGAAAAAGCCAAAAACTCCAACCTGCTTCAAGTGTTCAGGTTTAGACTTACACCTCACCCTCTAGGATAAATTCATTAAGCCCTAACCTCGTACCATGAAATAATGGGTGTGTATTCTACCGTTTGCCGTATTTGGAATGTGGAGCCTCACGCCCCCTGGCCCCTGATCTCGTCCATGCCCCACTTCCTCGTGTTCGCCGGGAGGCCAGCCTGGGTCCTGTCAAGAAAGGAAAATCAGTCCGTGTCGAGGCGGCAGCACAACGGAACCACGCGGTGAAATGACAGGGAAGCGACACAAAGTGAGCCCTGGGCCACATCACACCTTGAACTGAAAAAGACACAGGCAAAGTTCTGCTCTGGATTCCTTAAATAAAATTAAAGGCACTAAAAAAGGTTAGCAGAGCGTCTTTCTCTAGATTTATTGGGGGAGTTTGTTACAAATGTTTGAGCTTTACAGACATGATTTCATGGATTCGAACAGGAAATTCAAAGTTAACACTGATAGCCTTCTTATTACATACACAGAAATGACACTGCTACAAACTGCAGTGGAGAGAACCTTGTTTCAAATGGCTTGGTTTGGGGTTTTGTCTCAATGTATCATCACATAATGAAAGCACCAATTTGAGGCCTCCTCAAAGAGTGACTGGGATCTCAGACCAGAACAGAACTTGGTAACTTTCTATTTCACATAAATTAAGGCATAACCGGTTACGGGGACTAATGTTGAAAATACATCTCATCAAAAGCATAAATACAAATATTTGGGGCTACACCGGAAGTTATGATTTCCTCATCCTCCCTTGAAAAGAAAAGAAAAGAAAAGAAAAGAAAAGAAAAGAAAAGAAAAGAAAAGAAAAGAAAAGAAAAGAAAAGAAAAGAAAAGAAAAAAGGAAAAGGGAAGAGAAAAGAAAAGAAGGCCAGGAGCATAACTCCTGTTACATCCGAGCTGACGCTCCGAATCACTTCCGGTACCCATGGGCTCTTACTTCCTTCTGCTTTAAACCAGCCACCGCCAGCTCGTGAGAGAGGATTTCCCTAGACACCTCCACCTGAGCTTGAGAGAGATCAACCAGAGGACCTCCACTGTGTGAAACACCCGACAGGGCGGCTTCAAAGAGAACAGAACAAACAGGGCCGATCTAAATTCCACGTCACCTTCGGCTGTGGTTGCTCTCTAACCAAAGTGCTCTTCCAGGCGGTAACACTCACGTGAACACTTCGAATTCGTACACTCTTTGGCAGAAAGCAACGACTCGGGCCACGAGAAAATAATTTTTAAGTGGTGGGGGCAAACCTTACATTATGTGGCTCTTAGAAAACATCTGGCAGAAACCTTTCCCCTGTAAAAATCAAGGCTCAAATGTGTGGTGGTCTTTGATTTATAAGGCAACTCTGTAAGCCCTATATTTCTTCAAGGCCAATGAGGACACTTGTATGACATTTTTAAGAATTAAATGAGAAAGACATTCAGATTCAAAGAACACAATGTAATAGGGGATTAGGCACATTTTATTCCAAATCACAACCGTTAAGACTTTCAAAAGCCAACACACCAGAAAAACTGGATGCTACTCTGAGGAGAAACTGGCTGGGTGAAAGCCACGAGCTCCCTTGCAGTCTGCTACTAACTTTCATCACCTCCGTCTTCACACAGTGGTGTTTCTAAAGGACCTAGTTTTCATGATACACGTGTGAGACTCCTTCGGACGGTTTTTGAGAAGCTGACCTAAAGCCTTCCGACCACTGTCTAACGAGCCTGCCGTTAAACACAAGAAATCCGCTGCCTCGGGAAGTGGCCTAGACTGTACTTTAAAAGAATGTGGAGACATTGGAGGCGGCTTATTGGGAAAGAGACATCACACACGCACAACATAATACCATTATCTAGGTGATGTTCTGACACTGCCTGGGGGCAGTCAGCATGGGGTAAGGGGGGGGCACTGCCGCTTCGTCGGGCAACAGGCATGGTCCGCGTGCGCCTCTTCAACAGAACTTAAACAACACTGAGTTTCCTCTTTTATAGGAACTTAACTTCAGCCTTCACTAGAGTTAAATGGTCTTGGCCATCAAGTGGACGGTCTGCAACATCCGCCCACAGACTCCAGCAGAAAGTCCCAATGTGATCGTGCACACACTCAGATACTCACGAGCACTGAAACTGAATTCTGTGAACTGAGACACTATCTTCTTTTTGGCAAGAAGCACTGGCTGTAGAACGACTCACACGTGCGTGACTACATGCTACGGCCCCTCACGCTGTGACCCAGGGCTGCGTCTGTGGCTCGTGGCGCACCGAGGCACAGAAGCACTGAGGCTAGTCTGGATAAAGCGGCAGTGGAGATGCAGGAGCGGTCAGGAGCGGAATGAACCACCCCCGGTCCGCTCCCTGGAAAGCCCCGCTCTCACACCAGGCAGCGGACGGACCGAGAACCGCGGTCCTGGAAAGGCTGCGTGATCCGTCACGCCGACCCACCTTTCCAGGACCTTCTAGCCAACAGAATACCTGAGAACACAGCTCTACAGTAACGTGACAGAGATCACAGTCTGAAACAACAATTTCCAGGAAAAGGAGAAAAGCCCTTGGACTTTCCCAACGGCCACCAGCCTCGACACCTGCCTCTCTAGTCCCGCTCGAGCAGCACCCAAGCTACCGGCAGGGCCCTCTGGACTGCACGCCAGCCAGGCCGACGAGCCTGTCATCACACAGCCGCTTCAGGGGTGCGCTGCATGTCATTTAGGGGCGAGGAGGGGTCTAATGTGAACAAAAAAATGGCTATGTATTCTTACAAGTAGCCCTAAAACATTCCAAATGTACCTCGGTAAAGCTTGAAGCTCATGAGCAATAATGATACAAGCACGTGCGTGCTGCACCTCTCGGAGAGCCACCGAGAATGAGCTGGAATCTCAGCGCCTTCTCGAGTAGCGGGACCCGAAAATCCTGCCCTTGGTAACCCCCGAGGAAACACAACCTCCCATAAATGCCCGTCTGGAGTGGATGGGAACAGATAGGAGGAAAGGAAATGTGTCTGTGACAGTCTCCACAGTGCTTGCCTGCAGGGAGGACCCAAATCTTGGGACAGGAGGTCAAAGTCTGAGAGGTAAAAGCACAGAACATCCCGGAGAGGCCAGGTTTCTCTAGAAAGCTCCCTTATCAAGCCATCTGCCATTTTCAGTTGCTGCTTGGCCAAAACGTTTTACATACGGCACATTCATGACACAATATTTAAATATGAAGAAAAAAGCAAGTTATATTTCACTCACTGCTTTGGATCAAAACACTAAGTAAGGCATTTTGCTTGCTCTCTGCCCCCTGCCCCGTACCATGCGTGAACTTTCGTTAGCATCAGACCAGGAATCCTTATGTAAACTTTAAGACACTAAGAACATTACCTTGAGAAACCACAGAAATTTTAAAACGAGACAACTGCTGGTTATATAAGCAATTAAGAAAAAAAAAACACGAAGGCTAAATGTGTGCACATCTACAGAATGCCAGTCCTTAGATCAAACTTTTTCCCGATGGCAGCCCTGCAAAGCAGGTCGCTGCTGCGGGCGGGGCAGATCAAAAGGGGTCTTGTTTGTTTGAGAATCGAATATTCTTAACCTCATCCCGATACACAGTCAAGGGCACCTTCTCTACTTGGCACTATGGGAGAATTCGGCAAGAAGCGAAAGCCTGAGCGGTACCTAGTCAGAGGCTCGGCCAGAAGCTACCCCCGTCACGTGGAGGCCGCAGGGAAACAGATCAGAGGCTGCACTTCAACAGGGATGGGCAGGCGCTGTGGGCAGCTCTCCGCCACACACCGAGGTCCACAGGGAGGACGACTAAGGTTTCCAAGAAGTTAAACTTAGAATCGAGACGTTTCTAATTCCTGCTGTAAACTGCTGTGTTAAAAAACAAAACGCACAGAGAACAATCGAAAGGACAGAGGGTACGAAAGCGGTCACAGTCTCCCGTGCGTCACTGCAGCATGAGCTGCTTGAGGTTGTCGTGAAGAATGGTATCCTTGACGTCGCGGAAGACCAGGCGGATGTTCTCCGTGTTGATGGCGGTGGTGAAGTGGTGGTACAGGGGCTTCTGCTGCTGGTCCCGCCGCTTGTTCCGGAAACATTCCACCAGGAATTTTTGGACGTCTCTTAAGCAGTGGGGGTCCCCTTCAAATTCTAAGAAATAGTCTTTGATGCTCACAATTTGCACTTTCTCCTCAAGCAAATCTGTCTTGTTTAAGAAGAGGATTATGGAGACGTTGCTGAAAACCCGGTTATTGACGATCGTTTCGAAAATGTTCAGAGATTCTGTCAGGCGATTGGTCAGTCGATCTTCCATAAGCACCTGGTCAAATTCACTCGAGGACACGAGGAAAAGTATAGATGTCACGCTGTCAAAGCACTCGAACCATCGCTTTCTCTCTGACCTCTGACCGCCTACATCAACCATTTTGAAAGGGACATTTTTAATCTCAAAGTCGTACTCGTGAATGCCTTTGGTGGGCCTCCTGGCAAGCAGGATGTCTTGCTGTGACGGGACGTAGTCCTGGAAAAGAGAACAGTGCTTTAGACTCAGGCAGCCAGAAGCAGGCAGTTTCTAACGTGCCGCAGGCTGGCCGAGGCAGGGGATACGCAGACAAACTGGCCTTTGTGACGACCTGGGGCTGCGCTTGAGCATCAGCACGACTATCCCCCCTGGGACAGTAAGCTGTTCTGGGACGATGGCCAGCTCACAACGCACCACAAATGAGCAGCGCCGACCATTTTCTTCACTCCCACTTTTTCGGCAGATTTCAGTCTCCTCACCAGCGGCCTTCACCCCTGCCCGCTGCTGTGCCTCTACCTTTAGTATCAGTCCTCACCCCCCTGCCCCGCCCTCAGCTCCAGCCACAGCCCTTCCTGCACCTGCGCCCGCCTGCGCCTCGCTCCTCCGTGGAAGGCAGTGAGGGCTGAAAGGCCAGTTCATGAGGGTCCCGTCCCAGGGCAGGCTCTGCCCACCTGGTTCTAGCTCATTCCAAATGCTCCCATACTGTGCCCATCTTCGCGACTAGGAACGCTGACGCCGGCCGCCCCGCCCTACACTGCGGCCACAGCACGCACGTGGGGACAACTTCCCTACCACGGCTGATACGCTGAATTCGTGCTGGGTCATGGGTTTGCTTCCAGGGGCCGGCCACGCAGCTGTGCCCCACCTTCTCCCCACTGACAGGCGCCCCTGCCTGTCACATGGAGACCACACCCAGCCCAACTGCCTCAGGACAGCTTTCGCAAAGACGGAATGAGCCCCTCTCTGGGAACAGGACCCTGGACAGAAGCTGCCCAACCGTCCCAGGACCTGTCCCCTGCTGACGCACTTCCTGATGCACTCCAACTGGGTCTTTCTTCTCAGGCTAGTGTTCTTCCAGAACTCTGACCTGGCTCTTCAGCGATACTGAACAGGAGAGCTCTTTAATGCTCATCGTCAAGGTCAAAATAGTTTGTTTTTTTAAATCTAGGCAAGATTTTAAAACAACACTGATCATCACAATGCTGTATTTTATGCTTTTCCAAATAGCGTAATATAATTTTGAAATTTCATTATAATGCGAACAGTTAGTTCAATGGTACAATGGAGTTAAGAATAATAAAGGAAAGTAGGCGGTTCTCAGTTATCCATATCATTTAGGACTGACTCTGGGGTCTTCATAAAGCCTGTGGGCATTTCCAGGTTTCCTTTTAGCTTCTGTTCCCATACTCACTACCCTCCTGAGAATCGGCACATCCATACAGCTTTCAGCCTGCCCCTACTTTTTGGCTGAACACTTGATCATGAATGGTTACACAGGCTGATTCAGTTGTATTTCATTTTAAAGGAGTATACATATACCAACCGCATTAATGTCTCTAATTTTACATAAACGTTTGCCTTAACGGTGCTCATTAAGGTTGTTTCTTCCATTTTTTGATTTAACAGAAATTTTTCAATTAAAATTCTCACACTTATATTTTTCTCTTCCCTTTTGGACTATTTCCTGAGATAAAATAACCAGGAATAAGATTATGAGGTCAAAGGTTATGAACATTTTGGGGATCCCAGACATTAAAGCCTAACTGCTTTCCAGAAACAGGGCACAAATATACCATGCATGCACGCGCCAGCTGCCCTGTGGCGCTGGGGGGTGCTCAGTCCTTAGGCATCCAACTCGATTTTGGCTGGGGTCATGATCTCACAGTGCAGGAGTTCGAGCCCCGCACTGGGCTGTGTACTGACGTTGCAGAGCCCGTCTCTCCCCATCTCTGCTCCTCCCCTGCTTGCTCTCTCTCTCAGAATAAATTAAAAAATAATAATAAACTTAAAATAAAAAGAAACACACCAGCCCTGAATTGTTGTTGTTTATTTCTAATTCTATAAAAATTAAAAGCTCTTCACTACAGCCTGACTCAGAAGCAGAGTCTAGTCGGGAAGCTGAAGGCTAATTCCTACAACGCCTCCAAACCAGGACAGTGTAACCGCACGCCACGTGGCCTGGCAGAGTGGCAGTGAGGGCCAGAGCCGGCTCTCCACGCACGAGCCGGGGGGCCCCGGGCAGGGCCCCGAGTCCTACTGTGTCTCCATGTCCTCACTGGTGAGATGCAGGTACTAAGGCTCGCGGGGGGCCGCGAGGACCGGGCGAGCCAGCCGTGCTGGGCACTCAGTCCAGCTGCTCTGCCGTGCCTCCGGCCCGCGTCGCTGCAAAGAGAGTCCAGAAGGCTGGGATGGCCAGGCCTGATGGCCGCCCATGTCTCTCGCGTCTCACTGCTCGGTGGCCTGATCAGCTATTCACACGCCTGCCTCGGTAGGAAACCGCATGTTGTCCTGCAGCACCAGGCCCTCTGGGCCCGCAGCTCACTCAGCTCCCTGCCCGCCACCCATCTGGGCGTGCTCTCAGCCCCTCGTCCCCGTGGGCGCCTCTCTCTCATCACCTGGTCTACTTCAAATCCTGTTTCTCTTTATTTCTGCTCGCCCTGATTTCCTTACCACCTCAGGTGTGGACCGCCATCTCCCCACTCGCTCCCCGGCCTCGGATGCCTCGCCCTGCTCGGGTCCGTCCTGACACCACTCGGGCCAGCCCCCCAGCACGGTGACTTCAGGACTTCCCATGAGGCTCCTCACTGCATCCGATCCACACTCGGCTGACTGGCTTTCATGACCCTCTTTCCCCCCTGGTTTTCTGGAACCGGCAGACGCTGCTCTACACTGTCCACAGAGCCGAGTGCCCAGATGTGCCCAGTGCCGCGCACCCTGATACCACTCTGTGACCGTCCACTTGCACAAGTGTGCAACTACTGGGAACGATCCATCCACACCTGAGCTAATGCCTTCTGGAAACCTGTTTTTCCAAGTTAGAGCCAAGAGTGTCACATGTCCTTGGTCAGACGGATGTGCCTCCTAAAAATTAAACACACCCAGTGGTCTCCCATCTGGGGGCCGCACACGTCCAAGTCCACCTCACCCTTCGACAGTGCAGATTCAGTCACTCTTACGGGCCAGCCTTGGCCTCTCTGGTCAAAACCCTGCTCTCTATTCCATGAAATAATATGATCTTCATGATTAGTACCACTTAATTGTCCTTTGCCTGGTTTTATGTATGTTGTAATTTTGTCTCTAACTAGAATAAGTTCCCTAAAAACAGGCATCAAAGAACAAAACAGCCAACACTGAGCATTTACTACACGAAGGCACTGTTCCAAATACCCTACTGAGCACTACAGACTGAACTACGTCCCCCCAAAGCTCACATGCTAGAGCCCGAACGCCAATGTGACGACTGTCCCCTGGGCCGGGGCTTGTAGGACATGGGTAGACAGATGAAGTCCTAGGGAAGGGTCCTAATCAGAAGTCTTGGCGGTCTTAGAAGAAGAGTTAAGATGGGGCACCTGGGTGGCTCAGTCGGTTAAGTGTCTGACTTCAGCTCAAGTCATGATATCACCATCTGTGGGTTCGAGCCCTGCATCAGGCTCTGTGCTAACAGCTCAGCCTGGAGCCTGCTTCAGATTCTATATCTCCCTCTCTCTCCGTTCCTCCCCCATTCATGCTCTGTCTCTTTCTGTCTCTCAAAAATAAATAAAAGTTAAAAAATTTTTAAAAAAGAAGAAGAGTTAAGACATCCCGGTCTCTCCAAGTGTCTGTGGAGAGTAAAAGCCACATGAAGAAGCCGCAGAGAGGCGGCCACGGTCTGCAAGCCAGGAAAAGTCCTCGGTGGAGAATGGCCACGCTGGCCCCTTGATCTCAGATGACTGGCCCCCAGGGCCGTGAGACATGTCCACTGTGAAGCCACCAGTCTAGGGTACTTTGTCTGGGCACCATGAGCAGACTAAGACACGGGGCTTCTTTCACGTCATTACCCACAACCGTGCGAGGTCAGGTCTCTTACGACGCCCACGACAGGAAGTAATTCGGGTGCAGCGATGCCCATGGTCACGCAGAGGCAGTGCAGCGGGGCCGGGATGGGGACCCAGCTGGTGTGGCTGTGGAGCCACGCCCCGGACCCTGTGCTGTCACCTCCCGGAGGCCGAGGGGCTTGGTGCACTGCTGGGCTTCCCAGGTCCTGGTACTTCGGAGACGGAGGAGCAAACACAAGCCTGTGACTGGTCGGGTACGCACAGGACGAATGGCCAGCCCGCAGCGCGGTGGCGTCATTCTCCCTCCTCGACACCCACCTACTGATCGTAGTGCTTTTTTCAGTCTATTCCAGTTGTGGCCTCAGAACTGTTCTCAGCCTAAGTCTCTGAGCAGCTGGTACCAGCTGACTGGAGTCAGCCTACAGCCATGCATTCAACAGCTATTCGTTAAGTGCCTGCCAGGCATTGTCACTAGTCATCAAGAACTCAACTCTTCACCATCAAGAGATGAGATCCTTGGGGCACCTGGGTGGCTCAGTCGGCTAAGTGTCTGACTTTGGCTCAGGTCATGATCTCATGGTTCTGAGTTCAAGCCCCATGTCGGGTTCTGTGCTGACAGCTTGGAGCCTGAAGCCTGCTTCAGATTCTGTATCTCCCTCTCTCTCTGCCTCTCCCCTGCTCATCCTGTCTCTCAAAAATAAACATTAAAAAAAAATTTAAGAGATGAGATCCTTGCCCTTATACCAACAAGTATAGGTAAAAGACAAGCAAAGAAATAACCAACTGTAGAAAGAGCAATGATATTTCAAAAAAGCAAGGACTGAAACTGAATACAAGGTGAGGGACCTACTTTGAAGGCTGTGCTCAAGGAGAGCTGATCTGGAAAGGTAAACTGAGAAGATGAGGTCAAATCAGCGCTGTCTGGTTTGGAAAACATGCAGTAACTCTTAAAAATTAGTTTACCTGCTAAGGCTCTCTCCACTTGGCCTACGTTAACTTTTTTAAGGCTTACATTCTAACCAGATGGGAAAGAGTCAACGAAATAGTCTTAATACACAGATTCATAGGGAGATCCCGACTTCTGGAACACACGTGTATAGGAAAAACACACTGGCTTGAGGGCAGACAAGTGCAATTTGGCAAAATCCAAACCAAGAGGATGTAAAAATCATCTTGCAAGAAGAAGGTACACTTCACGTGTCATAGAGGCCTTAGAACACCACTGTCCTACTTGTGGCGGGGTGTTCATTTTGTTTTCTTTCAGTTTTATTCTTAAAGCCAACCTCAAAGGACCCCTGAGACTATACTACAGCGTATTACAGAAATCTGCTTAAAGAGGAGGCAGAGAATGCTGTGGGAAGTCCAGCAGGTGACAGATGACTGCAGGGCAGGGGCCTTCAAACATTTTCTGAGCAGCAGCAACCTATCTTCCAGGGTAGACTCTGGCATGAGCCCAGCACAGAGAACAGAGCAGATGCCCTGCCCGCAGCAGGGCCAGGGCCAGAGCCAGCCACGGCGCCAGCGGAGAGGAAAATCAGAAACGCTCCCTCCAAGGGGGACTCCATCTCCTACTTCATGGAGCATCTTCAGCCGGCCTTCAGAATCCAGCCCTCCTACACTGTCACTCAACACGAAGGGGTTCTGCGCTAAAAAATACCGTTTGCTAAAAGGTTTTGAAATCAGTCAGCCAACCCACCATGTCCTGTTTCTGCTTACAAACGCGCGCGCACACACGCACACACGGCACTGAAGTAGAGCAGATAATGTGCAATCTCACTTCAAACATAAACTTTCTCTACACAGTTTTATGCTCTGAACTCGGGGACAGGACACTCCCCGGGGAAACGGCAGCGATGTGGATGACAGAGGGAGACAAAAGGAAGCTGGAACAGTCCGAATGCTGCCACTGGGAAAAAGGAAGACGCCAACAGCTCAATACATAATTTTTCTAAACCTCCTAATATCCTGACTATTGCTTTCAAATAGCAATAAACATAAACAAAAACTTACTGCTTCTCCAAGTTTATCCAAGTTATCCAGGAAATATTTTACAGATTCACCCTAAAACAAGAAAAAAAATACATAGTTATTAGAGCTTAGAAATGGAAGATTTTGTTACAACAGTTTACATTAAACTGTCTGGCTGTACACTTAATCCAAACATACTTTGTTTAGTCACAAAATTCAGACTGAACAACTAACCCCACCAAAACGTATACAACGTCTGCTTCTGCCCGAGTGTGGCAGCCTGCTTAACTTCACAAATGCCTTCCCTGAGCGGCACCCCAGCAATCCGCTTGGATGGCGTCACACGGAAGCGTACTGATGGAACTATCCATGCATCTGAAGGAAGAGGGAATTAAAAGGTGAAAACTGCTTTTGCGATAAGCACTACTATTTAAGTGTCTGCATTTTCCCCCCTTAAGTTTATACCAACAGTGCTTTAGTATCAAGAGCAAACCAGAGATGAGGTGAGAACACCATAAAATCTCTTCGTAACTGACACCTGCTTGGACAGGCGTGCCTTGCTCCAGAAGGTTCTGAATACTGCTGCAGGCTTCATGTCTCCATGAGGTCTTTTCCTGAGTGAACAGCCTATTCTCTCTGAGCCCAGATTTCTACTACACCTCCAGTCAATGGCAGACACCTAAACTCTATGAGAATACATTCCTAGGAGGGAATATTTGAACAGAGGACAGACAGCTAAGAGGGGAGCCATTTGGGACAAGAAGGGCTCTTATTCCCAGGATGCCGTCCCTGTGTGTCCATGTCCCTGCTGTCTACCGCCGCGGCACAGCCCTGCCCCTGCCCTTGACCGCTCCCACAAGTTGCTGAGGGCAGTGCTTCTGTGACGTATAGGGGAATCGCCTGAAGATCTTGGTTGATTAGAAGTTCTGATGTGGACGGGGAAGGGGAAGGAGGGGGCTGGGCAACCAACCAACCGTTTCTGCCATTCAGGTGATTTCTGGGACCACACTGAGTTACAGGCCTGAAAGCAGCAATTTTCTATTTTTTTGGGGGGGGCTCTCAGAATCCCTTTACATACCTTAGGATTCTCAAAGACCCCAGACAGACCCTCTTTATGTGGGTTATAGCTACTAACGTTTATCATATTATAAAGTAAAACTGAGAAATTTTTTCAAGTATTTAAAAGTTCCTTTAGGGGCTCCTGGGTGGGTGGCTCAGTTGGTTGGGTGTCTGACTCTTGATCTCGTGGTTCATGGGATCAAGCCCCATGTCAGGCTCTACGATGGGGGCGGGGAGCCTGCTTGGGATTCTCTCTCTGTCCTTCTCCTGCTCACACGCTCTCTCTTTCTCAAAATAAGTAAACTTAAAAAAAAAAAAATGAATAGAAATGGCTTAAAAAGTATCAATGATAAACCCATTAAATGAGAACATATTTTAGTACAGCTCATAAAAGACAGGGAGACATTCATCTGCTTCTGCATTCAAACTGCTACTACAGGTTGTTCTACCTGAGCATATGCATAGAGTCTGGCTGTTCACAAAAACGTAGCTGGAAAAGGGAGTATTTTAATAAAATATTTTCAGATAATTATAGACATTTTTGCTACTATACCCAAACTTAACAAGTTTTTAAAAATGTTAGTTCACTGTGTCATAGAAACCTTTTTGGTCTGAACCTTTCATACTCCATGACATTAAAATCCACTGGCTTACCCTGTACTGAGAACGGAGCTTTGACTCCCCCAACCCCCAGCCTATGACACCAGGCACTGGTCCCGGGGAACGTGGCGGGAGGCTGGCTAGCACCCCTTCCTCCCACATGCTGGCTTCCTTACTCACCGTTAAGAAAGTCACAGTCACCAGTATCTCTTTCGCCTCATCAGAAGCCTCAAGTACTGGGAAGCTGACAAGCTCACAGTGGTGGGCCCCAAACCAATTTTCCTCAATTCTGATTTTCACTTCAAAGCTCGAGTTTTATCAATGGCAGCGAACACTCCCCCCTTCTTTTCCTTGAGGTAACAGGCTAACTTCATGTATTTTCTAAAACATGTGTTTTCTGTCCAATGGCCAAGTCTGAGTAAGTTGACTGTTCTCTCGAGTAAAATGGTGTTCCGTGAAAAACACGGTCGGTCCTGCTCACATGCAGAACATGCTTTCCACCCGCTTCTGCCTTCCACATGCCTCCCGCTCTGTCATACAGGGTCCTCAGGAGGTGTGCACTCCAAGGTGGGGATTTTTTTTTTTTTTTTGAGAGACAGTGTGAGCAGGGGAGAGACAGAGAGAAGGAAAGAGAGAATCCCAAGCAGGCTCTGCATGTCAGTGGAGAGCCTGATAAGGGATCAATCTCAAAACCATGAGATCATGTCCTGAGCCAGAATCAAGGGTCAGACACTCAACTATGGCTTAGACAGTTAGACAGACGCCCCAAAGGTTGAGATTTAAAACAGTGATTTTTCATGCCTAATTAAGGATAATCTGAAGTGGAACTGGTGTGTGTGTGTGTGTGTGTGTGTGTGTGTGTGTGTGAAATGGCAGCTGCATGGTGGTGTGCCTGGAGCCAGTGTGTGCACCGACTGAAATATGTAAGCCAAAGTGAATCTGGGCTTAATCTATAAATATATCAACATTTACATATAGGACTCTTTGTACAATCCAAAAGTACTTATTTATTTTTTATTATTATTCTTTAACGTTTATTTTTGAGAGAAAGAGAGAGTTGTATGCGAGGCAAGGTAGGGGCAGGGAGAGAGGGAGACAGGATCTGATGTGGGCTCCTCACTGACCGCACAGAGCCCGATGTGGGGCTTGAACTCACAAACCGTGAGATCATGACTTGCGCAGAAATCAGACGCTTGACCGACTGAGCCACCCAGAGGCCCCTCCAAAAGTATTTAAAAAGTAAAATTCAAACAGATAACAACAATTCCATTATACTGAAGTAGAGCCTCTTGGACAAATACAATAAAAGATAAGTCACTCTGTCTATGTATGACTGAGATAGACAAAACTGTCACCCTTTCAGTAATGTGTAAATTGAATACTTACATAACATCAGATACCTTAAATGAAATCTAGTGAATTTCTAAAAAAAGGTGTTTTTTTGACTCGTAGTATTGTATATTGCCTTTATTGGCTTTTCCCTTGATTTTGGATTTCATATAAATTCACTGTGGAAACTGATAACCAGAAAAAGGTACAGAAAGGAAAGAGGCAAGAGCCATCCCTCCACCACTTGGCGACCACAGTTAACATCTAGGATATTTTCTTTCAATTATAGCTGGAAAAACACAGACAAGTTTGCATCCTAATTTTTCCACTTAGTAACTGGGAAGTGAATCTAGTGGTCAAAATAATTCTTAGTATTTGTTATATAAAAACCTAAATAAAACCACTGATCTAATGTTGGGTATTTTAATTCTTTTTTTTATAAGCACTGTTAATATTCTGAAAGTAAATAATACTGTGATAAACAGCTTTGAGTGCAGTCGTATGTGCTCCTGAATTATGGCCTGAGTGATCTCAGAAGAATTACCAAGGTTAAGCATTTTTAAGGCACTCAACTCCTCACCGCCGAAGGTTCTACTGATTTGCTCCCAGCCAACGGTGTGAAACTGGGATGAAGATGAACCGAGCCGATATCCCAGATGGTGGTTTTGCAGGTGTGTCTATAGTAACCTACGGTGCAAGCCCGGAGAAGCTCTGCATCGTGACGACCGATGCTTCTCGTTTCAGAAACCCCAGAGCAAGGGCACTGTGTGCGTTGGAGAAAATGACAGGTTCCAGATCCAAATCGACCACAAAAGTCCAACCACACAAAAACTTATGTCAATTAGCACTCTGTTTATCCTAACTAATGGTCAAACAAAAGAGAGTTAAGGTCACCTTAAGATGAACACATCGTCTAAAGCAGCCAAGCTCCCACTTTCCCTTTAAAAAAAAATTGATGCTTATTAAGCAACCCACTGTCTCGGGGGTCTAGAGAAGTTGGTACGCTCTTTCCAGTGACTGTGCAAATTACAACTTTTTAGAAGGTTATGAGTAGTATGGGTGAAACTTTCAATGAACTTTTACCCATATTTTTAAAATGTATTTATTTTCAGAGACTTAGTTGTGTGTGTGAATGGGGGAGGGGGGGAGAGAGAGAGAGAGAGAGAGAGAGAGAGAATCCCAAGCAGGTTCCACACTGAGCACAGAGCCCCACACTGGGCTCACGAAGCTCATGACTTGAGCTGAAATCAAGAGCTGTACTCTTAACTGACTGAGCCACCCAGGTACCCCTGAACTTTCTACCATTCTAAGGAATGTATAAAACACAAACAAAATATTACAAACAAAAAAATATTTTACTCATCACTACCTATGACAGCAAGAGTTGGAAGTCCATTTTTCCACTTAGCATTAAGGTAATGATTTAATAAATTTTGGTCTATCATCCAACAATTATTTTAATATAATTGCCACATATGAAATATTTATACCATTAAATCTAAATTAAAGTAGTAGATCACCAAGTGAAGATTACAAAGAAATTACAACCCCTTATCTACAAATTCTTTTGGTAAGCTTGGCTCCAACACTCAACTGGAAGCAAAACGGCCTGAACTGATATTAGGTTCTTTAGTCTTTATTTCTCCTACTTAGTAAAACTATTAGATGTTTTGCTGCAAAAAAACAAAACAAAGAAAAAACATCTATGGGTATTATATAACAAACAGTACATGCACGGTATTATCTTTCTGAAACCCAAACATTCTAAATTTGGTTAACAAATCTGGATTCAACAATTTATAAGAATCGGTCTGTATCATGCTTTGCTTTAATTCTTCTACTTAAGTATGGAAAAGGTAACTTTGTACCTCAATGAGTGCCTGCCTATATTCTCTTTTCAAAAAAAGATAAAAGGAAGAGAAAATCATTCCTATTTGTTCTTTTCTTGGTATTGCAAATAGAAAAAAAAGAGTTAAGGTCTTTTCCCTGTTATGTCCTGATTTAACTGCATTCCCTAAGAGGGGACCTTAGATTTTTTAGGTTCAAATTACTTACAAGCCTCTGTTTATTATGAATTCGTAATCTCACCCAAATCAAATGATAAG